GTTACCGACATCTGGTGAAAATTTCATGTCATTAGCACCTCTAGTAATATATGTACTGAGAAAAATGTTGACGTGTTCAATACTTATTTTACCCGCTGTAGATCTCATGGAAGTGCTACAGCTAGCTGCTGCTATTTGCTCTCTTGGAAATAACCACTGAGTGCCACATAAAAAAGGAATGTGAAAGATTGTATGAACCTGTGTGAAAGTTTTCAAGTGATTTTCGGCCACTAATCCATTTTGGGGTTTTGTTTTTCGTCCTGATCCGACTAGCCATTCGCTCTTCGATCAGGTCAAAATAAACTATTTCATTAAACTGAGTCGTTCAATGAGCTATCTACAACAGGTAAGGTGTTCATCGCTCATGATGTCTCCACAGAATCCCACTTCTAAAACTCTGAGCTGTTTTTCTGAGAAAACTTTTTTTTAGCTATAAAGCTTTAAAATGGTCACAAAGACAATATTAATAGCTGATTATAGTAGGAAGAACCCAGAACAAGAATCATTGCGTTGGGTTTACTGGACAACCGGAAAGGTCCATCTGAACACAAAGTGATTCTACATTCAGAAATAAAACTGCCACCCTCCCCTTTCAGCTGAGCAACCTGACGGAGCCGCAGAGTCTGCTGGGAGAAATTGCCAAGCAGACATCTGGTGAACTCACCTCAGTGGAAGTGATCGCATATGTCGAGGCCTTGAGTCGATCCGCATCAACACTGACTGCTGCGGAGAAGGATTACTCTGTCAAACCATCTGCCATCAACTCCACTCTCTCGGTAAGCTTTGTTTACCATTGTTGTTTCTCAGTCAACAGCTTGGAGCTGCGCCTGAAAAGCAGTTTATGCTTTGAACTGGTTTAAGGAAACAACTGGCGATACACACAGCCGAGGGCCCTCGTTTGGAACCACTTTGTGCGATTGCAAAATATCTGTAGTGCAAAGTCTAAATATTTTTTGGGGGGCGCTGATTGTCGACAGAAACTTAATTGCATATGGTGATTTTTGAAAAAACAAACCAAAACATGATCATCAAAATAAAAAGCAGGTTGCAGTACAGTCATACGCGACGTGTGCTGAGAGAGAACTCCTGTCAAACAGAAATTGGTCAAAGCTGCAAACAATCTGGTGGAGAAGGATGAGCTGGTGGCCTGGAGCCGAATGAAGGACGAGCGGCGAGGACCCACCCTCACCAAGCTGCTGCACCTGGTGGAAGAAAGTGCTCTGTCTTTGGGCAACAACGTCAAAACTCCAACCGAGATCCAAATCAAAGCAAAAGAAATGGGTGAGATAACTGTTTTACGTTAACAGCAATGTGCTGCTCTGTTTAAATTACTATCACTCATTTGTTTTTGTTTTAATCACAGAATTAAAACTACTCACTTTGCACAGCCAGCGTGTAAAAACCAAAGTGTCTTTTTCCACGAGTGGTGGTCACATCAGTCTAACCCCAAAACTGACTCCAGGGAAAGACAGAAATGGTAACAAAGTTTAATCTAAATTTCATCGACACTTTCTGCCCTTTAACTCCTGTGAGACGGGCCGCTAAAAAAATCTGTCTGTTTATTGGCTGCGTTGGCCAAACTAAAAGTTTTATCAGCAGAACAGTAAGTTTCCCGTCTGTTATTCCGCTTGTTTTGTCCATCAGGAAGTGTGTCAGTGGTGTTTGTGCGATATGACAGCATCGGTGACATCCTGAAGCCGAGCAGCGACCCAGGTGTCACCGACTACTCGCGCTACGCAGGAACTGGGGAAATCACTGTCAACTCCCAAGTCGTCGCCGCAGCCGTCAAACCTGCTGACATTTACCAGCTTGACCATGTCACCTTCACTCTGAGGCACGCCGAGGTAAACACCGAGCGCAGCTCTCTGCTTCCTGTGCGCCACTCTTAATGTCGTTTTTTAAAATACGAACTCGTTGAAAAGAAAATCTGCCAGACGGGCGTTTTGTTTCAGCAAAGAGGTCAATCATAGCTTTGGTGATGTCATGGACACAAGCTCGTTCCTGAATGGATGAGTTGTTAAGTTTGCAGGAGGAATTTTGACATTTTTCCTCCAAAACATTTTTTTTTCTGTTTGAAATGCAGAGGTGCGACAAAAAGAGGGGTTCAGGGGGCCCCGATTAAGTTCCATATGCAAAAATCAAACCTGAAGTGACAATAAAAAAAAAGAAGAATGTCTTTATATATGTGTGTGTGTGTGTGTGTGTGTGTGTGTGTGTGTGTGTGTGTGTGTGTGTGTGTGTTTTCAGGTG